AACAATGATTGTAACCCTATTTATAAATTAAAAATTAGGGTTACTAGAATAAGATAAAATACTAAAATACTCTCTAACAAACTTAGGGGCTAAGAAAATAGTACTAATAATATGAATTACTTCTAATATCATCCCTTAATTCATATTCCATCAAAACTTGTAACACCAATTCCATCCCTTAGTCTGAGAAATTGATCAGTCTTAATAGCTTTCGTCAGAGCATCTGCCAACTGTTTCTGAGTGTTGCAGTGTACAACTTCTAACACTCCACTCTGAACTTGATGTCTCAGAAAATGATACTTGGTCTCAATATGCTTGCTTCTCCCATGCAGCACTGGGTTTCTGGCAAGATTGATTGCAAACTTGTTGTCAATCATCAGATTCAGAGGTTTGTTTATTTTAATCTTCAGATCCTGCAACAGATTCAGAATCCACACAGCTTGGCATGCAGTAACAGCACCTGCAATGTATTTAGTTTTACATGTTGATAACGCCACAACAGGTTGCTTCTTGGAACACCAAGAAATGGGACCTCCCAGAAATTTGAACAAGTACCCAGATGTACTTCTTCTGTCAACTCTGTCTCCACACCAATCAGGATCTGAATAACTCAGAAGTTCTGACTCATCCTTTCTTCCAGAAGGAAACAACACTCCATACTTCAGAGTTCCCTTGATATACCTCATAATCCTGACAGCAGCTTGGTAATGGGACCACTTAGGTTTACTCATGAACCTACTAACCATCCTAACAGAGTAGCAAATATCAGGTCTGGTATTGCACAGATACCTCAGAGAACCAACCAACTGTTTGAAGGTTGTAGCATCCACATCCTTTCCATCAGAGTCAGAATCCAGTTTATGATTTCTATCTGAAGGTGTGACAGCAATCTTACAATTCTTTCAGTTCAAATTTCTTCAGAAGTTCTAATTCATACTTGAGCTGATGCAAAATGATACCTTTCTCAGAATATCTGAACTCCATCCCTAGAAAGTATGTCATTTTGCCTAGATCAGTCATTTCAAATTCATTCATCAGAACTTTCTTGAACTTGGCTATCTCCTGTTCAGAACTTCCAGTCAATAGTATATCATCAACATATAAACATACCAGAGTCATATTGCCTTCAGAAGTATGCTGAACATAGACACCGTACTCCATCTCACATTTCTGAAAGCCTTGCTTCTTAAAAAATGAATCAATCTTCTGATTCCAAGCTCTGGGCGCTTGTTTCAATCTATATAGAGTTTTGTATAATCTGCACACCATCCCTTCCTGATTCTTTTTCACAAATCCAGGAGGTTGTGACACGTAAACTTCTTCTTCTAATGGACCATTCAGAAATGCAGATTTTACATCTAAATGCATCAGATGCCAATTCCTGTTAGCAGCTATTGCAATCACCATTCTGGTTGTTTCATGTCTTGCTACAGGTGCAAACACTTCAGAATAATCCAGCCCAGGTTTCTGTAGAAATCCTCTGGCTACCAACCTTGCTTTATGTTTGCCAATTGAACCATCTGGCTTCAACTTCTGCTTGAAAACCCATCTAACGCTGATGGCTTTCTTGTCTTTTGGAAGTTCTGTCAGCTTCCAAGTCTTGTTTCTCTCTATAGCATCAAGTTCTTCTTTCATGGCCTTCAGCCAAAGCTTATGCTTAAGAGCCTCTTCTGTACTTATGGGTTCAGAGTCTACCATCATGGCACACTGAATAACTCCTCCTTCAGAGTCTACTTCAGTGTCTTGCAGCATGTCAAATTCTGCATATCTTCTGGGAACGTTTTTGATTCTTTGTGGTCTCTGAACTTGTTCAGAGTCTTGGGCTTCAGATGATTGACTTTCTCCATAACTTTGACCAACTTCAGGATCTGGCATATTTCCAGAGTCTTGAACTTCAGAATTTCTAGCTTCAGAGGCTTGACTTCCTTCAGAGCCTTGGCCATCTTCAGAGTCTGGATCATCAGAGTCACCTTCATCTTCTGAGTCTTCTCTAGAGTCAGAATCACTATCAGAGTCAGAATCAACGTCAAAATTTACTCCAACTTCAGAAATTCTTAACTCTGACCTTTCTTCAGGAGTTCTAACATCAGAATCAGATTGAGACTTATCCCAATTCCAAACTTCTGATTCCTTCACAATCACATCTCTGCTGAATTCAATTTTATTGGTTTCGGGACAATAGAGCTTGTATGCACCTGTACTGTGGTACCCTATCAGAATCATCACTTTGCTTTTATCATCCAGCTTCTGTCTTCTGACTTCTGGAACATGTTTATAGCAAACAAAACCAAACACCTTCAGATGACTAACACTTTGCTTATCTCCAATCCACTTCTGTATTGGAACTATTTCCTTCAACTTCTTCGTAGGACATCTGTTGAGTACATACGTTGCAGCGACAACAGCTTCTCCCCAGAGCTTCTGAGGAAGCTTCTTCTCCTTTAGCATGCTTCTCACCATATCAAGCAAAGTACGGTTTCTTCTTTCAGCAAGACCATTGTGTTGAGGGGTATAAGGAGCAGTAACCTCATGCTAAATTCCATTCTCCTCACAGAACTTCTGGAACTCTTTGGAGTTATACTCACCTCCACCATCAGTTCTAAGAATCTTCAAATTCTGACCACTCTGATTCTCAGCCTTCATTCTGAACTTCTTGAATTCATCAAACACCTCATGTTTAAATTTAATAAGGGATACCCATGTCATTCTTGTGAATTCATCAACAAACAACACAAAGTACTTATTCCCTCCAATTGATGCTACTGGAAATGGACCACACACATCAGAATGTACAACTCCCAAGGCATGTTTTGCTCTTGGAGCAGCTTCTGACGCAAATGGCAATCGTGGTTGTTTTCCTTCCATGCAAACTTTGCATGATTTTTCAGGCTTCTTAATTGCAGGAATTCCATGTACCAACTTCTTTGAATTCAGATGTTTTAAGCTTCTGAAATTCAAATGACCAAATCTTCTGTGCCACAACTCACTCTCCTTCTTAGCACATGTTGCACTAAGACATTCTGAGTCTGCAGTTCTGACATTCACCTTGAATGTTCTATTCCTTCCTTGTTCTGACTCCATAATCAACTTCTGGTTGTAGTCATACAGCTTTAGAAGATTATCCTTCATGGTAACTGAAAAACCTTTCTCAATTAATTGTCCCACACTCATCAGATTGCTTCTGATGCCAGGTACATACCACACGTTCTGAATCAATGCTGTTTTCCCATTATTCAGAATCACTCTGACATTTCCCATACCTTTTGCATTAAGATATTTGTCATCAGCACACCTGATCTTTGTTCTCTTTTCAGAGTCAAAGTCAACCAACCATTTCTTGTTTCCAGTAAGATGATTTGAACAGCCAGTGTCCATATACCACCAGTCTATCAGATCCATATTATCAGATTCAGAAGCCATCAATAGCACAAATTCGTCATCAGAACTTCTGGCTATATTTGCTTCTTCTGATTTTCTCTCCTTGTTTGACCAACAATCTCTAGCAAAGTGACCAAACTTCTTACAACAGTAACATTGGATCTTCTTCTTGTCATACTTCTCTTTTCCCTTCTGAGCATTCTTTTGTCTATCAGAGGTTGAGTTTTCTGACTTCTGACCACCATCAGATCTTCTCCTGGCTTCTGACTGCTTCTGATACCTCCTATCAGAAGTTGCTTGCAGAGCCTGCTGCTCTACTTCCTTTTCAGAAGTTCTCTCAGTCAAACGCAACTCTTGCGCTTCTAGACTGCTCTGCAGCTCTTCAATTCTCATGGTGCTCAGATCTTTGGAATGTTCTATTGCTACCACAATGTAATCAAATTGAGGAGTAAGGGATCTCAATACTTTCTCCATGATTGTTTCTTCTGAAAGAGTTTCTCCACACGCCTTCATCTCATTAGTGATCAGAATCATTCTGGAGATGTATTCAGAGACTTTCTCATTATTTTTCATGTTGAGATTCTCATATTGCTTTCTCAAGGACTGAAGCTTCACCTTCTTCACTGATGCGTCACCACCATAACATCTCACCAGTGTGTCCCACGCAACCTTTGCTGTTGTTGAATCTGCAATCTTCTCAAACACATTTACATCCACACATTGATGAATGAAGAACAATGCTTTCTGATCATTCTTCCTTACTTCCTTCTGCGCGTTTTTCTGTTCATCTGTTGCATTTGCTGCTACTGGAACATAACCATCAGTGACAATATCTAGAACATCTTGAGCACCAAATAGTACACGCATTTGGATCATCCAACGATTCCAGTTTTTACCATCAAATACTGGAAGTTTGGTGTTCATGTTGCCGTTTCCGTTCATCTTCTACCTTGCACAATACACTCAGATTTCTCACACAGTGTTTCCCAACCCACAGAATTAAAATTCTAATCAGATTTTGTTCAAGATTCAACACGAATCTAAGAATCAAAATCAAACACACAAGACCTCACGTTCACTCGTGTTTCCCGTGTTTCACAAGAACTCTAGATACCAATTGTTGGTGCAAAGGTAGAATAAATGATGAAAAAGGAGAAATATTCTATTAAGAATGACGGCTACGCAACTATTAAAAATAACAATGATTGCAACCCTATTTATAAATTAAAAATTAGGGTTACTAGAATAAAATAAAATACTAAAATACCCTCTAACAAACTTAGGGGTTAAAAAAATAGTCCTATATAATATGAATTACTTCTAATAAGCCAAACATTTTAAACTTTGTCAAAATAATTTTTGTGTGCATGTCTTTGATGTGATTTGATCAACTACTTTTATTATTTTAGGATTAGAACACATGTTAATTAAATAATTAAAAAGCACACATTAGTTAAAAACATGCATCAAATTCCATCAATATTTTAATCAATAAAGTTTGATATCTTTAAAGCATCATTAGGTATATTGTCTCAACACTCTTATCTTTTTTACGTGTTTATCCATCAATTTTGTCACCCTTGTTCTAAGCATGTTGGATGAACTGTGAGGGAACGTATAAAATGGTGATGCGCATATCTACGCTGAAATTTGATCATGCCGAACTCATCTCTCTCTCCAAGCGCCTCACAGCCCTTCAATCGCTTCTTCCATTCCACGCCATCACAGTCACTACCGGCAACTCCACCAACCCCTTCATTGCCGCTAGACTCATCTCTCTCTACGACACTCTCAACCACCCTTCTTCCTCTTCAACCCTCTTCCACTCCCTTCCTTTCAAAGACATTTTCCTGTGGAACTCCTTCCTCAAAACCCTCTTCTCTCGCTCCCTTTTCCCTCAGCTTCTCTCTTTTTACTCCCTCATGCGCTCTTCCAATGTCTTGCCAAATCACTTCACTTTCCCTATGGTTGCTTCTTCTTATGCCCACTTGATGCTTCTCCCTTTTGGGATGAACCTTCATGGATTGGCTTATAAAGTTGGGTTTTTTCCTTCTAGTTCGGCTGTTGGGTCTTCCTTTGTGTCGTTGTATTCAAGGTGTGGTGAAATGAATGATGCGGTTAAGGTGTTTGATGAAATTTCTGTCAGGGATGTGGTTGCTTGGACTGCACTTGTTATTGGGTATGTGCAAAACGGGGAGAGTGAGAAGGGTTTGAAGTGTATTAGTGAGATGTATGCTGCTGGGGGTGATCATGATGCTCAGAGGCCTAATTCCAGGACATTTGAGGGTGGGTTTCTTGCTTGTGGGAATCTGGGTGATTTGTTTAGTGGCAGGTGTTTGCATGGTTTGGTTGTGAAAAATGGGATTGGATGTTCACTTGTTATACAATCTTCGATTTTGTCTATGTATAGTAAATGTGGTGTGCCTCAAGAAGCTTATCAATCCTTTTGTGAAGTGATCAACAAAGATCTTTTGTCGTGGACATCCGTCATTGGTGTTTATGCTAGGTTTGGGTTGATGTGTGATTGTGTGAGATTCTTTTGGGAAATGCAGGAAAGTCAGGTGTACCCGGATGGAATTGTTATTGGTTGTATTCTTTCGGGTTTTGGTCATTCCGCGGATGTATCTGGAGGGAAAGCTTTTCATGGATTAGTTATTAGGAGACATTATGTGCCTGATGAGATGGTTGATAATTCATTGTTGTTTATGTACTGCAAATTTGGAATGTTAAGTTTTGCCGAGAGGCTCTTCTATTGGTGTCAAGGGAGCACAAAGTGCTGGAACTCTATGGTTGTTGGCTACGGTAGAATAGGCAACAACTTAAAATGTATTGAACTCTTCCGGGAAATGCAGTATTTAGGTATTTGTTCTGAATCGGTTAGCGCAATTTCTGCAATTGCTTCGTGTGGTCAGTTAAAAGAACCCAACTTGGGAAGGTCAATTCATTGCAATGTGATAAAAGGTTTTATGGATGAGACTCTCTCAGTAACCAATTCACTCATAGAAATGTATGGAAAATGTGATAAAATGACCGTTGCTTGGAGAATATTTAATCGGACTGAGAGGGATGTTATCTTGTGGAACACTCTGATTTCAGCTCATATTCATCTCAAGCATCATGAAGAGGCCATAAGTTTATTTAATACGATGATTATGGAGGACCAGAAGCCTAACACAGCCACTTTGGCGGTAGTGCTTTCAGCTTGTTCTCACCTTGCATCTCTAGAGAAAGGAGAGAGAGTTCACGACTACATAAATGAAAAAGGTTTTAAGCTCAATTTACTGCTTGGCACAGCTTTGGTTGATATGTATGCCAAGTGTGGGCAGCTAGAGAAATCAAGGGAGGTATTTGACTCGATGATGGAAAAGGATGTAATTTGCTGGAATGCAATGATCTCGGGCTATGGAATGAATGGATATGTAGAATCTGCGGTGGAGATATTCAATCTTATGGAGGAATCAAATATTAAGCCAAATGAAATTACTTTCCTCTCTCTTCTCTCAGCGTGTGCCCATGCAGGACTTGTTGAAGAAGGGAAATACTTGTTCGCTAAAATGCAAAGCTATTCCGTGAAGCCCAATTTAAAACACTATACTTGTATGGTAGATCTTTTGGGAAGGTCCTGTAATTTAGAAGAAGCAGAAGAATTGGTCTTATCCATGCCTGTTTCTCCGGATGGTGGCGTGTGGGGAGCGCTGTTAAGTGCTTGTAAAACTCACAATCAAATTGAAATGGGAATAAGAATCGCCAAGTATGCTATTGACTCTGAACCAGAAAATGATGGATACTATATAATGCTAGCCAATATGTATAGCTCTATTGGGAGATGGGAAGAAGCAGAAAATGTGAGAAGGACAATGAAAGATAGGTGTTTGCTGGGAAAGAAAGCTGGTTGGAGTGTGCTCTGAGCTAAAACTTCCTTTTCGTCAAGCTTAATCTTTGGAAGGGTCAAAGGAAACTTCTGGAAGTTTACCCGAGTGTCAATAAGCTTAATTTCTTAAGTTCGGTCCTTTCCTAAGCCGTCTATCAGCTTGTTATATTGAACATCTGGGCTAAGGAAGCTGACATGCTACAAGCATGCAAATTTGTTTGCATCATAGCTTCCATGTGCACGTCACTATTTTGAACTTTGGAAAAATCTGGAAGGAAAAGCATATATTCTTTCTCAAGATTCTGTGGCTAGCTTGCTGCAGTAAATTGAGTTTATCCATATTATGGAAATTTTGCATATTGATACTCTGCGTGCTCACTGTCAATGGCTTTTTTATTCGGTTTGCTACGTGAGCAAGTGGAAGTGCGAAATTTCGTATTGTCGATTATCATACTTAATCATAGCTAGTTGTTGCTTCTTGGGGCACACATGTCATACAATCTACAGCACTGAATTAAGAAATCAAGGAAGTTCTATATGTAAGAGAAGTAAAGAAACAAACATTTTATTGAACAGACTACAGGTTGCAGGGGTAGACAATGATAGACGTTTTGTCAATATTCTTGCACATAAAATACCTTTACAACATCTATAGAACCAGACACACACATCTGCTTGCAAATAAATGGACAAAACAGATCAAAATAAACTACATCTTTATTTGGGGGACATCAAATGCTTGCTTAAAGCTTCTCTAGTGTTAGCAAAACACCTGAATTGCTTTTAATGGAGGAGACCTTCACCTCACTGCAAAAATCAAAGATTAATCATGAAATTTTACCCTGTCAAAGATAAGCACGAGGAGTTTATACAGTCAAGTTCAAGGTCTAACAGGTTAAGATGATACCTTAACAATTGGACGGCCTTTTCAGACCACATTTACCGGGCAGGGCCATAGCATTTGCGGGGTTGATTCCAAATAAAGGTAGTTCAGACTTGTAACCGCAAAGACAGGTAAGATTGCAACGGTGAACAACATTGCAGCATTTCGTATCCGGGTTTGGCGGGTTTGCACCGGTAACAGCATCATGACATAAATTTAGCTCACTTGATTCAATGTTACATAGTAAAACAGCTAGATTTCCACCCAACATGGCCAAGATCAATGCTGCTAGCATCCACTGCACCAAAGTCTTTCCACTAGAATGTGCCATACTCTCCTAATTTATCAACCAGGTGCTTACTTACTATGTTATATTCTGTAACCTCTCTAAGAGTTTATTTATAATGGTGTTTAGAATGTTAGTTGAACAATTATTTACATTATTTTAGTCTTAATAGTGTCATTTGGTAACAGTTATGTCATGTGAGTACAGTCTGTGTGTGTTCACGAGATAGATTAACGTTATTATAGTGATAGTAATCACAACAAAACAATCTTAAAGTGGCTTATTATTCGGTGAATAAACAAAAAGTGGTTCGTGGTGATAGAATGATCCCTTGCTCATGGCTGTTAAGGTGACAAAAATGTTATCACATGTTCCTTGCTTGTTGTTTTTATTATAGTGATGCCAAAATATGGATAATAAAAAAATGAAACTGAATCTAGAGGTTATTATCATTGATTCACCTTAGTTTTTTTTTTGGGCCAACAAAATGAGGAAGAATTAATATTATGCTAAGCTGAACAGGTTTCGATTGTCAAAGTAATCCCGTGAAGGTATAGTTGTTTAAGACTTAAATTATGAATAAGCTTTGTTTTGAAAGGGGAACAATAGAGGAAAGAAAAGGGAATCATTATGTGTTTGGTTGCAAGAAAGTTGCGGAGACAATTTTAATTTCCGTGGGTCCCACCAAAAAATTCCTTCAAAATGTGAAGTAAAGTAGTAAACAAGAGAGGAGGGGTTGATTTGAGTAAAAATGACTTTAATATTCTTGTTTTATATATTTAATCTTTTTATTTAAGGTTACATTTGTCATTTAGCAATATATGATTTTCTTTCCTCTTGCTTTATACTGCATCAAACAAGAAAATGTAATTTTTTTTCTCTTCGTCTGCTTTCATTTTTCTGTCTTCTATCCATGAAAACATAGTGTAAATGCCGCATTATATTATGTGAAATAAAATAGAAGTTAATAATGAAATATTTGTGGGCTATGATGAATTTGCAATTGGAGTCAATAAATAGTATCACTCCTAATTATGTTTATAACGAGTCAAAGTCAATAGTAATGATAAAGTTAACAATTATGATAAAGGTAAAGTCAACAGTAATGGTAAAAGTCAACATTGATCAAAATATGGTTAATAATATTGAAATGATCAATAGTCAATTATAAGTCACAAACTAATAAAATATAAAGATTAACGGAGAACCTTTGAACCATTAAGTAAAATGAAATGTAAGATGAATCAGATGAAACTTTTTATGATGTATAAGATGAATTTAGCCTGAGCCAGAAAAAGAAAAAAAATGGAAAAAGAGTGGGGCAAATTAGGGTATGACAATTGCCCCTATTTAACTTTTTGAATTAGATGATATGATTCAAGGTAGTTAAATATAGAATATTCAAATTTTGCCCCTTTGAAAGAAATAAAATGTAATGTATTGCAATGAGACTAGATGCATTTTCTTGAGAACTTATTTGCTGGGAATATGGAATGGAATGTAGATTTTGTGAGGATTATTTGCTGAGGATTGACTGAAATACTTTGTTGGGGAATAGATCAGTCGTAAAAGAGATGTACGTGGTCATATTTTGCATGTTGTATGATTTGCTATGCATTATGCATGAAGTGGTTATACTTGACTTATATGATGCATGAGATTATGCATGTTATGCAATGATGCAGATTGTTAGGTGAAAGGAGTGACTGGTATCTACAAGAATGAGATTTTGGTTCTGGTTTTTTTGTGGTGGTGAACTTTGATTCTTCGACATTCGATGACTGAATTGAGGAACTCGTAAGTTGATTAAGAGAGTTTCAAGATGCCACTGCTGCTGGAGGTTTGAATTTGATCCTTTATGAGATGGATGTTCAACAAAAAGAAGATCGTCATCGACTCGTTCGTTGGCAACGACACACTGGTTGGAAACAAATCATCAAAGCGGAGGTTGGAAAAATATCATCAACACAAAGGTTGGAAAAAGATCAACAACACGAAGGATGGAAAAAGATCGTCAACCATGGAGGTTGGAAACAGATCAACAACACGAAGGTTGGAAACAAAGACCAATAACACAAAGTTGAAAATGAATGACATGGTGGTGAGTCAGCAAAAAGGATAATTGTCAACACAACGGCTGGAAAGTAAGCTGAACGAATACATTTCAAGAGGGTTTACTGGAGAGAAAGTTGTCAAGGAAAAAAAGAAAACCCTCTGGGGATATCAACTAAAAGTTTCGCGAGGATAATATTCTTTTCAGAGAAATACCACCGTTTTAATTGAGCCTTAATTTGTCGGAAGTATACCAGTTATAAGGTAGATGTTTACAGTGATAAGGTTTTGGAAAAGACTGTTTTGGTTATAAGGCTTTATGATGATGTCGAAAGAATGCGATGATATCTGAGTAAAACGACCTGATTAATGCAATGCAATGATCTATGCGATGATGATATGCATGATTTGATGGCAATGATCTGAGTAAAGCGACCTGATTAATGCATGACAATGATCTATGGCAAATATCTATGTGATGATGATTTATGCGATTGATGCATGATAATGATTTATGCATAGTTCACCAAATGCTCATGTGGCAGGAGATGAAAGATTTGAGGCTATGAAACGGGTCATAATGACATGATTCCCCAACGTCTGCTTCAGGCTCAACGATTGTTGATTCACTTTTGCACTTGTCTAAGCAACTTGAAACATGGAGAGAACTTGCACCTTCGTAGCATGCCTCTGCCCTAGTCTGCTGGATATTTGTATGGATTGCCCCAATCACAAGTTATGAAGCAGTCTTGTTATATGACGATCTCGATCTGACTTTCCCCAATGTCTTGAAATTGTATGCCCCTGATTAATCGTCTTCTGAAGTGTTTGACTTCTTGTGCTCTTTAGGTGGCTTTCCCTAATACGAGCCTTGAAGTAATTTTCCACTGGCTGGATGATGTTTGAGGGAATGCCCCTGGCTAACTGATCTTGAAGGAATTCCCCTGGTAGGACCACATGTTATAGCTCCTCATTGCAACCTCCTTGATGTTGTGTGTTGATTTGTAGATTAAAATTGTTTACTCAAAAATGATAATTTTAATGTGACGTTTTGAGATCAAAATCATTATTTAAAGTGTGAAAGATGATGTGGAAATTTGATATCAATACAAATGTTTTTAACAAATCTCTAGGAGTCACGTATACACAATCTCACTATTGTATGCCTTGAGAATACCTTTTTTTCAATTAGTTTTTTTGAAGGTTGTACGTGGTCTGGTTCACAGTTTGAGAAATAAAGGATATAAGACTCAAAATTTTATTTTAGCCCACCCTATTCTACTTGATGTTCTCCAGTCTTGCGTTCAGCTAACTCAGCAGGTGCATTCAATTTCTGAAAGAAATTTTGGTGATTTTTGGAATCAATGAGGTTTTTCTTTCGTTCGCTTGCATGACAGTCTCCCTTTTTATTGGTAGTCACAACACTTTGCTCTTGCTTTTTTTTTTTCTGAAGATTTTTTTTAATTAATTTTTACCGCTAATTTTTGCTTAAGTCATTTCATCATTTTTTTTGTTTTTGAGTTAGCGGACTTTTCTTGTTTTTTTTTTTTTTACTTTTGAAAGATCGTGACTACTGTGATATTGATTATTGTGAGACAACCATTGTGAACTTTTTTATTTTCAACCTCTTCGACATCGGATGATGCATAAGATGTGATTGATCCATTGATGGGATGTTCTTTTTTGAATTTAAATGCAAATTCAAATTAACCAACGACCATCATGCCCCTGGTTAAGATTAAAGGATTTTTTCGTACAGAAAGAAACACCAACATCTAGGCTCAAGGGGATTGACGGTGGATTATCTTTTTTATATCTCTGGTGTTTAAGAGGTGAAACAATCTCTTACATCATCAATAGAGTTTTATTCGAAAACATATTGTCAGCAATTTTGGGTATTTGTTCTTCATTATTCTCCAGTTGATCCTTGCTTAAGTGAAATTGAGAAGTATTGATATCATTTTTCCGTTTTTTATGAAAAAAGAAAACAGTGAATTAAGCATGGAGTGAATATGAATGGATTGACTCAAAAGATGCATGCTCATTTCATTAAGATCATCATTATGAGTAACAATGTTAAAAGCAAACAATACTTTACAAAAAGGAAATGCAAATGAAAATGTTAAAGATGGCCTAAGGATGATCATTCTAAATGATAATATGGCAATGCTTCTCTCTAAAGCATAACAATTTTTTATCAATGAGCTATTGAACTTTGGTCTTGAAACTGAAGCAAACTTCTGTAGAGGGCCACATGTATCCTGCATAGGATTTGCACGTGGTATTAGGATTATGCTAGGATGATAGGGAAACTTGACAGGTTTGATCTCCTTGGGCACAATTTCCCCAACATGAATCAAAATAGGAAGTAGATGAGTATAAGATATTTGAATTGGATCAAAGTGGGGATGTCTCATATCTTGATCATTATTTCCTTGGTTGTTTTGCTTCTGCTCCTGTTTCTGGTTGCCTTGAGTGGGCTTCTGATTCAGTAGAAGATATTGCTCTTGGGCATAAACCGGCACACTGTTTGCAGTTGCATTATGGATTTTACCCGTCTTTAGTCTGTTCTTAGTTCGTTCATCAATCACAACTTGATCTGAGAAGTCTGTTGTCATATTCCATAGGAATAGTTGTAAGATCATGTCGACCTTACCTTGGGCGTGATCCAAATTTTCCTTACACATTGCATTCTCATGCTCAACCTTTTCCATGATTCTTTGGCGATTGGCTTTTAGTCAAATATCGTCGTTGTGGAATTGTCGTCTTCTGGATGAGGAATGGAAAGGGTGAGTTATTTCTGGTTTATACGCACTAAATGCAAATGCATGAATGTATGAATATATTTTTAGTTTTCAGAAAATCTGGAAATTTTCGTCAATTGTAGAGTATAAAAGTAAAGAAAGAAGAGGAAAACAGTATGGGAAAAAGAGAAAATAACTTATGTATTTATGAACTGGTATGTATCTCTTTTGTATGATTTTATCATTTTT